TTTTGTTATGTGAGTTTGCATGCGGTGGTTCGGCCATGATGTGCTACAACTACTGGTTTCTAAGTTGTTGTGCGTGCGATTGGTTCGAGCCATGGTGGTTGCATTCATGGCTTCCGTTGGGTTGGTATGTGGTGTTTCGACCATGATGTGTTCCATTCCAATGGTTTCCTAATTGTTTTGCATGTGCGATTGCGACAGTGATGTGTTACATCCAATGTTCCCCATTTGTTTTGCATGTGATGTGTCGACCATGATGTCTCACATTCTAGTGTTTCTAATGTGTGTTGCATGTGGTATTGCGACCATGCTGCGTTACATCCATTGTTTCTCATGTGTGTTGCATGTGATAGGTTGACCATGATGTGTTATAGTATAATGTGTTCTCATGTCTTTTGCAGGTGATATTGCGACTATGACTTGTTAATTCAAGTGTATTATGATGTGTGTTGCATGTGATAGTTCGACCATGATGCGTTACATACATGGGTTCTCATTGTTTTTTTTTGCAAGTGACATGCAGATCATGATGTTTGACCGAGTGATTCTCAACTGCTTTCCATGTGATGTCGCGACCATGCTGTGGCACATCCCTTGTTTCTCATGTGCTTTGCATGTGATCTGTCAACCATGATGTGTTACAGTATAATGATTTGTCATGTGTTTGCATGAGGTGTTTCGACCATGATGTGTTACAATGATTGTGTAGCATGTGGTTTGCATGTGGTTATGCTGTGGTTTGCATGTGCTAGTGCGGCCATGATGTGTTACATGCATTGTTTTGGTCGTTGGTGTTGCATATGTTGTTGCGAAGCTCATGCGTGCTTCATGCTGTTTTTCGATCATGATGTTATCGGATTCGCGGCTGGTGTTTCCATCACGATGATTTTCACTTATGTGTTAAACGTTGGTTTTGCATGTGCGTGTGAGCTGTGCATGTGTATTTTCACTGTTTTTGTGCTTGATCATGTGTGTCGCGATGTGCCATTGAACTGGACGTGCTGGGTTTTGCAGGCGATGTTTGTGCTACACCTATTGTTTGGCTTAATTGGTGCTGCAGGTGATGTTTCAATCATGGCGCGTTGCACTTAGGTGTTTTCGGGCGTAGCCCGAACTTGTTTTTCGAGAACTATGCTCCAACTGACTGACCAACTGACTGGTCTCATACGTTACGTCACGGTTTTATTTTCGGCGGCTGGGGGCGCAACCTATAGCGCAAACAATATGAGGCGCTTATACTGTCGGCCGCCGAGGGCACAACATATGGCGCAACCAATAGGAGACGGTTTTAGTCTCGGCCGCCGAGGGCGCAACCTATGGCGCAACCAAGAGGAGACAGTTGTGTTCTCGGCCGCCGAGGGCGCAACCTATGGTCCAACCAATGGGAGACGGATTTATTCCCGGACGCCGAAGGCGCAACCTGTGGCGCAAGCAGTAAGAAACGGTTTTATTATCTTGCACAGCTGTGTTCTAGAGCGAACATCTTTATTTTCGTGGTGGTTCGTCCCCTTCGGCCCCTCTCCTGAGCCTGAGCCCCATCTCCCCTGGGCCACCCCCCCTTGGGACCGCCCCTCCGTCCAGGCTTCCCAGGGCAGCCCCGTCCAGGCTTCCCAGGGCAGCACCCCTGGGCCGCCTGGGCCCCAGCTCCCCTTGGCCGCCCCCCCTTGGGGCCGCCCCTCCGTCCAGGCGTCCCAGGGCAACCTCCCTGGGCCGCCGAACCTTTTATTTTTTCGTCGTGGTGGTTCGTCCCCCTGGGCCGCCTGAGCCCCGGCTCCCCTGGCCCCCCCCCCCTTGGGGCCACCCCTCCGTCCAAGCGTCCCAGGGCAGCCCCCATGGGCCGCCGAAACTTTTCTTTTTCGTCGTGGTGGTTCGTCCCCCTGGGCCGCCTGAGCCCCAGCTCCCCTGGGCCACCCCCCCCTTGGGACCGCCCTTCCGTCCAGGCTTCCCAAGGCAGCCTCCCTGGGCCGCCGAACCCTTTAGTTTTCGTCGTGGTGGTTCGTCCCCCTCGGCCCCTCCCCTGAGCCTGAGCCCCAGCTCCCCTGGTTCCAGGGGGGCTGCCCTGGCCGCCGAAACCTTTTTTTTTCGTCGTGGTGGTTCGCCCCCCTGGGCCCCTCCCCTGAGCCTGGCCCCAGCTCCCCTGGGCCACACCCTCTTGCGGCAGCCCTTCCGTCCAGGCTTCCCAGGGCAGCCCCCCTGGGCCGCCGAACCCTTTTATTTTTGGTCGTGGTGGTTCGCCCCTGGGAAGCCTGGACGGGACTGCCCTGGGAAGCCTGGGCGGAGGGGCGGCCCCAAGGGGTGGTGGCCCAAGGGACAACTTTATTATGTTGCACAGCTGTGCTCTAGAGCTCGGACATCTTTCTTTTTCGTCGCGGTGGTTCGCCCCCCTCGGCGCCTCTCCTGAGCCTGAGCCCCAGCTGGGCCACCCCCCGTGGGACCCCCCCTTTTTTTTCCCGGCCAAGCTTCCCTGGCAGCTTCCGTCCAGGTTCAGGGGGCCGCCCCCCCTGGGCCGCGGACATCCTTATGTTCGTCGTGCTTCGTGGTTCGTCCCCCTCGGCCCCTCCCCTGAGCCTGAGCCCCAGCTCCCCTGGGCCACCCCCCCTTGGACCCTCCCCTGCGTCCAGGCTTCCCGGGGCAGCCCCCCTGGACCGCCGAACACTTTATTTTCGTCGTGGTGGTTCGTCCCCCTCGGCCCCTCCCCTGAGCCTGAGCCCCAGCTCCCCTGGGCCACCCCCCCTTGGGACCTTCCCTCCGTCCAGGCCTTCAGGGCAGCCCCTGGCCGCGAACCCTTTATTTTCGTCGTGGTGGTTCGTATCCCCCTCGGCGGTCCCATGAGCCTGCGCCCCAGCTCCCTGGGCCACCCCCTTGGGCCGCCCTCCGTTCCAGGTTCCCAGGGCGCCCCCTGGGGCGCCCGCACCCTTTCCTTTTTGATGTTCGTCGTAGTGGTTCGTTCCCCCCTCGCCCGCCCCCACCTCCTTGAGCTGAGGCCCCAGCCCCCTGGGCCACCACATTGGGCCACCCCTCCGCCCAGGTTTCAGGGCAGCCCCTGGGCGCCGAACCTTATTTTTCGTCGTGGCTTCGTGGTGGTTCGCCCCCGTCGCCCCCCCCCCCCCTGAGCCTGGGCCCAAGCTCCCCTGGACCACCCCCCCTTGGGACATCCTGGGGCTACTCGAAGCTGTTGGGGGTCCTTGGTGCAAGAGCCAGGGCCCGCGTGCCACTTGTTCCCAGCCGCCGAGAGCGCAACATATGGCGCAAACAACAGGAGACGGTTTTAGTCTCGGCCGCCGAGGGCGCAACCTATGGCGCAACCAAGAGGAGACAGTTGTGTTCTCGGCGGCCGAGGGCGCAACCTATGGTCCAACCAATGGGAGACGGGTTTATTCTCGGACGCCGAAGACGCAACCTGTGGCGCAACCAATAGGATACGGATAGGATCGCCTGTGCGGGCATGCGCCCGGGCCTCTTGAAGGCGAGGCGGGTGAGGCCATGGCCTCGCATGAGAAGCTGCGCGCGTCGGGGGTCTACTCAGGACAATGTGTACTTCAGGAGCTGATTTCCCAACCGTCCCCACTCATTCGTTTTCTCATGATGTAGCCACGTCGTCTCGTTGAAATCGTAGTTCTTGTGGTGTGAGAATGTCGGAGAAAACCGCAGGTGTCATCGTCCTTTCTGTGATCTCGAACTCATAGCAAAACACGTTCGAGTTGAACTCCTCAGACCTCCAATCCACTGCACATGGGTGTGGGAGCACTGGTGTTCTCATGAACTCTGTGTCACATCCTTCAGGTACCACTCCCCATACGCGCTCTGTGACACACCCAAGAGATCAGCTAGAGGTTGATTGGTGGTGGAAGTGGGAAGTCAAATGTGAGAGGTTGGAGGTCTGAATGTTGTGCTGGTGGAGGTTGGCGGTTGATTGGTAGAGGTGGAAGTCGAGAGTCGGATGCTGGAGGTTGGATATTAAAATTCTGAGTTGATGGACGCCGAAATCGATAGACAGAGTTGGCAGTGGAGAGTTGGATGCTAGAGAATGGAGGTCGTAGTGTTGAGTTGATGGACGCTGGAGGTCGATTGATGGAGGTGGGGGTGGAAATTCGGATGCGCGAGGTTGGTGGTCGGAGTGCTGAGCTGGTGAACGTTGGAGGTCGATAGGTGGAGCTGGAAGTGGAGAGGTGTACGCTAGAGGTTGAAGGTCGTGCTGCTGAGCTGATGGATGCTGGAAGTCAGTAGGTGGATGCGGAGGTGTAGAGTCGGATGCTGGAGATTGGAAGTCGGCGTGCTGAGCTGGTGGACGCTGGAGGTCAGTAGATGGTGCTGGAAGTGGAGAGGTGGACGATAGAGGTTAGCGTTGGAATGATGAGCTGGTGGGCTCTGGAAGTCGATAGGTGGAGTGGATGTGGAGAGACGGATGCTAAAAATTTGAGGTCGGAATGCTGCGATCATGGGCGCTGGAGGTCGGTAGGTGGAGGTGGAAGCGGAGAGCCGGATGCTAACAGCTGGAGGTCGGAATGCTGAGCTGGTGGGCGCCGGAGGTCGGTAGGCGGAGGTGGAAATGGAGAGTGGGATGCTGAAAACCGGCGGACGGAATGCTGAGCTGATGGACGCTGGAGGTCGGTAGGCGGATGTGGGAATGTAGAATCGGATGCTGAAGATTGGAAGTCGGAATGCTGCGCTGATGGACGCTGGAGGTCGATAAGTGGAGCTGGAAGTGGAGAGGTGGATGCTAGAGGTTGGGGGTCGTACTGCTGAGCTGGTGGGCTCTGGAGGTCGATAGGTGGAGCTGGCTGTGGAGAGTCGGATGCTAAAGGCTGTAGGTCGGAAGGGGGCTGGAGGTCGGTAAGTGGAGGTGGAAACGGGGAGTCGGATGCTGGAGATTGGAAGTCGGAGTGCTGAGCTGGTAGACGCTGGAGGTCGATAGGTGGTGCTGGAAGTGGAGAGGTGGATGCTAGAGGTTAGCGTCGGAATGATGAGCTGGTGGGCTCTGGAGGTCGGTAGGTGGAGCTGGAAAAGGAGATTCGGATGCTAAAATATTGAGGTCGGAATGCTGCGATAGTGCGCGATGGAGATCGATAAGTGGAGGTGGAGACGGAGAGTCGAATGCTAAAAGCTGGAGGTCGGAATGCTGAGATAGTGGGCGTTGGAGGTCGGTAGGTGGAGGTGGAAACGGAGAGCCGGATGTTAGAAGCTGGAGGTCGGAATGCTGAGCTGGTGGGCGCTGGAGGTCGGTAGGTGGGGGTGGAAGTGGAGGGTCGGATGCTAGAGATTGTAAGTCGGAGTGCTGAGCTGGCGAAGGCTGGGAGGTCGATAAATGGAGTTGGAGGTGGGGAGTCGGATTTTTTTGAGGCTGCAGGTCGGAATGCCGAGAAATGGCGCGCTGGCCTCCTACTCAGAAGCATGCGTACCGTACTTCACAAAATCGTGTCCCAACTGCTCCCCTTCCTGTGTCGTAGCCAATTGAAGCCATATGGTGTCGTTTAGGTCGTGGTGCCTTCGCGGTGTCTGGCGTCGGTTGTCTGCGTCGTCGTTATGCCGGCGTAGGAAAACGCGGATATCATCGTCCCATGTCTTCCACTGTCTTCCGTGATGACGCGGTCTTGTCTGGGAAGCCTGAAGGCTCGGGTGCCAATGAACAACACGTTGCGGCCATTCATGTGGTAGTTGCTGCCATCGCCATACCATCTTTCTTTGCACTGATGCCCAGTCGTGGAGATTATGTTTGTTCATGAGGGCCCCCGCAACCAATAGGAGACGGTTTTATTCTCAGCCGCCGGGGGCGCAACCTATGGCGCAACCAATAGGAGACGGTTTTACTCTCGGCAGCCGAGGGCGCAACCGATGGTGCAACCATTATTCGTGCGGGGCTACGCCCGATGTATGCTCGCCGTTTGGGCTGGCGGTGGGGCCCAAGCGGCGAACTGTTGTGATTTTCCAACTTGTGTTGCAGGTGGTGGTTCACTCATGATGTTACTGGAGGTGTTGTTCGAGTCGTGATATGTCGCAAATGCTTTGTACCTTGGTGTTGGAATGAGTTTGCGAGCCACGTGTTGTATTGCAGTTGTTTATGATGCGAATTTGTTTTCTTGACTGGCCTTTCTTAATTGGTGACGTTTCAACCATGGTGTGTTGGCCAGGTGTTTCTTACATTGGTGTTGACGTGAGTTTCCCAGGCATGGTTTGTATGACATGTGTTTCGGGTGTTTTTTCTAATAGCGACCGGTGGCTTTTCGGAAGAACATGGTTGACGCTCCTGGGTAACATCTGGTTTGGAGGTGAGTTGTCGGAGAGCCGTCGTTGATTACAAAAGCTTTGACTGTCAATGTCATATGCTGCTTCTTGTGTCTTTGTCTTGAGGCCCCCCCATTCGGTTTGCATTGGTTTGTTTGCTTTTGTCCGCGGTTTGGAAGTCCTCGTGCGTGGATGTCCGCGTGTATCTGGACTGGTTTCAAGTGGTTTTCGGTTGTGACAGGCTGGGTCCTGATTGTGAGCAACATACGAAAGCCCCAAACCAATGAACACAAGTAAAGGTACGCAAGCACACGTTGTTTTGTTGTACATTGGGTTCTGCCACTTGTCCGTTCGGATGTTGGTTTGCATCATAGTGGGGGAGTAGGAAGATGATAGTGAGGGCGAGGAGGAATGAGAATGCAGAGGAGGATGAGGAGGATGGGGGCGGAGAGACGGAGAGGATGACGAGGATGATGCTGGCGATGATGAGGAAGGGGGTCAGAGGGAGGAAATCGACGCAGGAGGGGCGAGAAGACTGGGGACCAGGAGGAAGCGCAGAAGGAAGGGGAGGCGGAGAACGATAATGAGGAGAGATATTGTGAGGATGAGGTAAGGGGGCGAGGTGGGTGGAGTGTGTGTGTGTGATGATGGTGCTGGTGCTGGTGCTGGTGGTGTATTTGTGTGTGTGGGGTTGAGGGAGGGGGGGGGCGTATTGGGGAGGAGAATGATGATGAGGGGAAGGATGGGGGGGGCGCCGCATCAGCATCATCATCATCATCCTCATCATCCTCATCATCCTCATCATCCTCATCATCCTCATCATCATCATCATCATCATCATCATCATCATCATCATCAGCGTCATCATCGTCATCATCATACTCATCATCATTCCCCACACGCCTTCATCATCATCCTCTCGCTCTCACCCTCCCCATCCTCGTCCTTCTCACACACCTCATCCTCGTCACCCACCCACCCTCCTACGCATCACTTCGCCTCATCCTCCTCATCATCCTACGTCGCCCGTCTCCCCTTATTCCTCCTCCTCCTCCGCCTCCTCCTGCGATTCGTCATCCGCGCTCTCCCATTTCATCCCCCTCCAGTGGAGCATTGCGAGGCGTTCTAGCAATAACAGGAGGATGATAGGTGCGTAGGAGGAAGCGCAAGGATGATGAGCATGATGATAAGGATGAGGCTGGTGGTGATGATGAGGGGAAGGAGTGATGCGTAGGATGAGGGTGGTGAGGATGATAATGATGAGGATGGGGAGGAGGAGGAGGAGGAGGAGGAGGAGAGGAGGCGAGAGGAGGAGGAGGCGGAGGCGGATGGCGGCGGCGAGGAGGCGGGGGGGATCGCGGAGGCGGTTGCGGAGAGGAGAGCGCGACGACGGGGATGAGGAGGATGAGGATGATGAAACCACACGGTTGGAGATGAGGAGCGGGGTGTCGTAGGGGGAGGTGGAGTATGCTTGATGAAGATGTGATGATGGATGATGATGCTGATGATGATATGATGCTGCTGATGATGAGGCGGGGCGAGGATACTGGCGTCAGTGGTTTTTGCTGTGCGCGGTCTGAAGAGGCTGGAGGAAACTGATGATTAGGAGTATGGTATGATGAAAGCTGCTGATGATGATGATGATGATGATGATTGATGATGATGATGATGTTGATGATGTGATGGTTGATGATGATGCTGATGAGGGGGGAGGGGGAATGTGAGGCGTGTGACGGAGGAGAGGCAGAGCACGGATGATAAGGAGGCGTTCGAGGAGGAGAAGGAGAGACGGCGGAGCAGGCGGGGGGAGGAGGATGAGGCGGCGGAGGCGGAGGGAGGAGGCGTATATGAGGCATGAGGCGGAGGAGGCGGAGGAACGCGGGCGGAGGGAGGACGAGGGTGAGTATCAGGAGAATGGGGAGGAGGAGGAGGAGGAGGAGGAGGAGGAGGAGGAGGAGGAGGAGGAGGCGGAGGAAGCATGTGTGGGAGGGGGGGGGAGGATGACTACAATGAGGGATGTGTTGGGGGGGACGAGAATGAGGAATAGGATGATGATGATGATGATGATGATGATGATGATGATGATGATGATGATGATGATGATGATGATGATGATGATGATGATGATGAGGATGAGGATGAGGTTGATGATGAGGGTGCTGAGGGCGCCGCGCCGCGGCCGCGCGCCCCCCGCGACCGCCCTTCGCGTCCCCGAGCCCCGGGCCAGGGGGTGGGGTCGACGCCTGGGGACAGGCCCAAGAGGGGCCAGGTGACCAAAAACAAACCAGAGGGCCAATACCGAGGAACCGCCGAGAGCCGAAGCCCCCCCGGCGTCCTCCCCGCCCCTCTGGCCAGAAACCTTAGGCCTTCCTCATTCAGGAGGAGGAGGAGAAGGGAGGCGTAGGAGGGAGGAGGATGAGGAGGGGGACAAGGATGATGAGGAGGAGGTGAAGAAGGAGAGTGAGACCAGGAGGGGGGGGATGGGGGGAGGAGGAGGAAGACCAGGAGGAGGAGGGGAGGGGGGATGAGGAGGATGAGGGGGATGAGGGGGATGATGATGATGATGATGATGATGATGATGATGATGATGATGATGATGATGATGGTGGTGATGATGATGATGATGATGATGATGATGATGATGATGATGATGATGATGATGATGATGATGATGATGATGATGATGATGATGAGGCGGAGGAGTGGGGCGAGGGGGGGCAGAGGGAGGAGGGAGGATGAGGATGAGGAGGGAGCGGAGGAGGAAGAGGCGGATGAGGATGAGGAGGGATGCGTAGGAGGGTAGGAGGAGGGAGGAGGGATACGCCCCCCCGAGGGCTTCACAGGTGCCTCCAAGGAACATCGCAGGAACCTGTCGGTGGTCTCCCTGATGCGGTTCAAGGGCTTCCCAACGGACCTCCAGGGGCTGCCAGATGCCTCCACGGAGCCTGCATCGCACCGACGTCCTCAACCGAACCCTGCGCCTGCGTACGCCTGTCCGACCGATGTACTCAGTCGTCTGCGGTTACCGTCCGACCGTCGGTCCGACCGACCGATCAAACAACAACACGCCCCAGAAATCCTGGCCCCGGCCCCGTGACACAAATATGTCCCGAATTGGTGTCCTCTTAACTCAAACAACAACACGCCCCGGAAATCCTGGCCCCGGCCCCGTGACACAAATCTGTCCCGATCTGGGGTCCCTTAACTCAAACAACAACCCGCCCCGGAAATCCTGGCCCAGGTCCCCTAACACAATTCTGTCCCGATCTGGGGTTCCTTTAATCAATAAACAACCCGCCTCCAAGTTCGCCGCCGTCTGGGATGTCTCATGGGAGTCTCCCGCGGGCTCTCTGAGGGAGGAAAGAGGAGAGAGGAGCCGCCTCCTCCGAGTTCGCCGCCATTGTGGATGGCTCGTGGGTACTTCCCGGGGGCTCTCTGAGACGTCTTGAAAGCAAGAGCCCGCAGATCGGTGCACGGAGCGGTGTCGGTGCACGGATTCGCTCGCAGGTCCTGAGCAAAACTGCAGACTCACTGCCCGTCGACCCTGGCGAAAAAGAGAGGATGCGTTCTCAAGCGGCTCGTGCTTCGCGGGCGCGCTTGAACGTAGCTTCCCAAGTCGGCCACAGTGCTGCAAGCACTGATGGATTACCGTAGGCGTCTTCGATCAAATCTAATTTACCCTCTGCGATGTCCCATGTCTCTGCCTTTTGGCAGTCAGCGACAAACGCGCGGAACGCATGTTCCGAAATGCTTGGATGGGGCCTGACCGCAAGATTAAACGCCGGAGTACTGTGCATGTCTCTGCCTGTGGCAATCAGCGACAAACGCGCAGAACGCATGTTCCGAAATGCCTGAATGGGGCCTGACCGCAAGATCTCACGCCGGAATACTTTGCATGTCTCTGCCCTTGGGCAGTCAGCGACTGCTGCGCGGAACGCATGTTCCGAAATGCCTGAATGGGGCCTTAGCGAAAGGTCAGGCGCCGGAATTTGTTTGTAAAGTCGGCGAGTCGAAAAAGGAATCTGGCTATACGTGCAGCAGAGCCAAGAGAGTGTTCGCTCCACAGATGCAGCCTCTGAAACATCGGCATCAACTAGCTTTTCATCGCTCGAGCTAACTTCGCAGGAGAGCCGCAAATGCCATAATCGAATCGAAAGACGGAACGGCGACCGAAACGAATCGGAGAGTCAGACCCTGGCGTCTTGAAAGCACTCTGGGAGCCTCTCGGTGGCGACTCTTGGGGCCTCTTGGAGCTTCTTTGGGGCCTCTGGGGGCCTCCTTCTTGAAGATCATCGGGCCTTCGTGAGCCTCTTTGTCGGGAGCGGCCAAAAGGGGGGTGTTCAAGAGGGGGGGTGCAAATCATGACCGGCGGCATGTGCGCGGCCCAGCGGGGGGGCCAGGGACGTGATGAAATAAGAAGAGGCGCCATGAAATCAGGGGACAAATCATGGCCCCCGCCATGATATCCACCCCCCCCTAGTCATCACCCCCCTCTTTGCCGCCCCCGACTTTGGGAGCCTCCCGAGGGCTCTTCGGAGCCTCGTTAGGGGCGTCCTCGGAGCCTCGCTGGTGCTTCTCCGGGCGTGGGGGTCTCTTGGTGGCCTCTGGAGGCCCCTCGGGTGCGCTCGGGGCGCCTCTCGGGGACATCTCGGGGCGCCCCTTAGGGGGGTCGCGCGCAAGCCTCGGAAGCGCATCGGGGGCGAACATGCGAGGCCGCCCAAATTATATATTTTAGGGCGATTTTGAATCATTTTCGCTTCTCTCGGGCTTCCTCGGAGCTCTTTTGGATGGTCTTGGAGGCCTGTTGGAGGCTTCTTGGCGCTCTCGTGGGTGCTCGTAGGAGCCCCAGAGCCCTTTTGAGCTGTCCCAGAGGCGTTCAGGGGCGTCCCGCATCCTAGAAAACATTAAAAAGCATCAGCAGGGCGTTTTTAGGAGCTGCACGGGGCGTTCCAGAGGGTCATGCTGGGCTCTGCGGGGTGCCAGTGGGCTTGAAAGGAGGTTCAATGCCAAAACAGGACGCGGACGGAGAGGGGGGAGCGCAACCTCTGTGGCCTCAAGCCCGAGAGCGAGAGGCCAGAGAGGGACGAAGCGAAGGGACCATAGGAAGAGGACGAGGAGCAGGAATAGAAGGACAACGAGGAGGAAAGCGAGGATGAGATGGGGGAAGGGAGGGGGGACGCGGAGCAGGAATACGAGGAAATCGAGGGAAACGAGGATGAGATGGGGGGAAAGAGGGAGGGCGATGGCCAGGGAGGCGCTCTCACTCGCGTTCGGGCGCGCCGTCCTCGGCGCGCCCGAACGCTCCTGCGCAGGTCTCTCCGGCGGGGGCCCGGCTCAGCAGCCCGCCCCCCGGCAGGACGGCGTCGGCCGCGGCGAGCCTGGAGCCCAGCGTGCGCGCGAGGCGGCCGGCCAGCAGCCGGGCGTGCACGTCCGCCAGGCGATCGGCGGGCGCCGCCGGGACTCGGTCGAACTCCGCCCCGCCCAGGGTCAGGAACTGCACCGAGGCGCCGTCGAAAGACGCCTGCAGGACCAGCGTCGGCAGCGCACCTGCCGGCGAGGAGCACGCCACGTACCGGAGACGGGAGGTCCGGCGCGGCAGCCAGTCCGTCCATCGGATCAGAGAGGGCAGGCCGCACTGGCCGAAAGTATTGGTGCCGCAGGCCACGGCCGTCCCGTCGTTCCTCAGCAGCACGGTGTGCTGCCAACCCGCAGCGACCTGCGTGTAAGTCAGGCCTCCTCCACGCAGCGCCGGGACGTCGCACTGGCCGCTGCCATTGTCGCCGCAGGCCACGGCCGTCCCGTCGCTCCTCAGCAGCACGGTGTGATCGACACCCGCAGCGGCCTGCGTGTAGGTCAGGCCTCCTCCACCCAGCGCCGGGACGCCGCACTGCCCGAAGCCATTGCCTCCGCAGGCCAGGGCCGTCCCGTCGCTCCTCAGCAGCACGGTGTGATAGCCACCCGCAGCGGCCTGCGTGTAAGTCAGGCCTCTTCCACCCAGCGCCGGGACGTTGCACTGGCCGACTTCATTGGAGCCGCAGGCCACGGCCGTCCCGTCGCTCCTCAGCAGCACGGTGTGATCGGCACCCGCAGCGGCCTGCGTGTAAGTCAGGCCTCTTCCACCCAGCGCCGGACGTCGCACTGGCCGACTGGATTGCCGCCGCAGGCCACGGCCGTCCCGTCGCTCCGCAGCAGCACGGTGTGAAACCAACCCGCAGCGGCCTGCGTGTAAGTCAGGCCTCCTCCACCCAGCGCCGGGACGTCGCACTGGCCGTAGAAATTGTGGCCGCAGGCCAGGGCCGTCCCGTCGCTCCTCAGCAGCACGGTGTGATCGCCACCCGCAGCGACCTGCGTGGAAGTCAGGCCTCCTCCACCCAGCGCCGGGACGTCGCACTGGCCGTCGCTATTGTGGCCGCAGGCCACGGACGTCCCGTCGCTCCTCAGCAGCACGGTGCGATCGGCACCCGCGGTCGCCTGCGTGTTAAGTCAGGCTCCTCCACCTAGCCCCTGGGAGTCGGCACTGGCCCGCTGGGCGTGTCGCTGAGGCCACGGCCGCCTTGGAAAGTTGCCCGTCAGCAGCACGGTGTGAAACCAACCCGCAGCGGCCTGCGTGTAAGTCAGGCCTCCTCCACCCAGCGCCGGGACGTCGCACTGGCCGACTTCATTGGAGCCGCAGGCCACGGCCGTCCCGTCGCTCCTCAGCAGCACGGTGTGAGCGTATCCCGCAGCGGCCTGCGTGTAGGTCAGGCCTCCTCCACCCAGCGCCGGGACGTCGCACTGGCCGACGTCATTGTAGCCGCAGGCCACGGCCGTCCCGTCGCTCCTCAGCAGTACAGTATGGTACGCACCTGCAGCGACCATGTTGCGGCCCGCGGGCCCACGGGGCTCGGGCAGAGACCCTCTCGTCCACATATCCACCCATACTCAGCCTCACACGTACTCGAACCCACCCGCACTCAGACGCGCGCCTACTCAGACCAAACGATACTCGACCTCACTCAACCTTAGACTCACAACATTCCCGATCAGAAGTTGTCTGGTGAGATCGACGTGGAACGGAGTCTCCCAACCGGGACGTCGATGTCGGATTCAGTTCGCGTCGTGCGCGACGCGCCCGCGGGCGAGGCGAAGCTGCGCGAGGGCGAGACAAACCCCTGCCTTGCCAAGGCAACTTGCCACCAGATCTTGTTCCTCCCCGCAGTGGTCCCGCGCATCGCGCCCCTCGATGCGCTGCGCGCGATCGTCTCGCGCCCCCGCACCGCCGCCCCTGGAGACGCGAAGCTCCCCGGCCCAGGCCGCGAGGCGCGAGGCACGATCATCTCCGCGCCCCCGCGGGTGACCTGGCTACTCCGCGTTCGGCAATCGAGTGCCGTTTTCGGCGGCAACACACAGCCGAACGCCGGCCGAACCGACAGCGAGCCCGAGACCGACCAAGGCCGAGAGGCCGTAGGCGAGCCCGGAAGGGCGCAGCGGCGCTGCAGCGACCGACCGAGCCGAGCCGAGCGAACGCGGCCGACCGCGACGTGGTCGAACAAACTGGACTGGGACTCATCTTCTGGCGGCTGCCCCTTGGAGTGCCCAACTGCCACCCCTGCCATGTCGCGGTGATCATGGTGTGAGTGCGAATGCCCATGCTGTGGGTGGTATGTGTGTGTTGTGGGTGACTCCGAGTGAGCAAGTCTGCGAATCAGTGCATGTGAGCGAGATCGAATCTGAATATCAGTGGATCTAGATGTGAGTGAGTCTGAGTGTGAGTGAGTCCGAGTATGAGTGACCTGAGTGCGATTGGAGGGAGGAAGGAGGCGAATCAGGAGGCGAAGGCGTCCCATCACAATAAGAACACCATACTCAGGATGTTGGCCCGCGTGAACTCTACACGGTGTATTCTAGTACGTTAGGTGGCGCAACATGGTGCAATACTTGCAGTGTAAGCTATGTGGTATACCACCTATGTGGTGCAGGTTATGTGCTGCAATCTCTGTGGTGCAACCAAAATGTGCAACGCGCAAGCGATGTAGCACTGGCCATGCATGTAGAGTGAGCTGCGTGGTGCAACAGGCGTGCTGCACGCTGCGTGGCGCAATCTGTGCGGAGTGCTGAGCACTCTGGGTGCTGCAACCTTCACGGTGCAGTCTACGAGGCTCGCACAACCAGGAGGAGGAGGAGGAGGAGGAGGAAAACTCGTGGCGGCGACGAAGCGGCGACGAAGCGGCGACGGCGACCGCAGAGCCGCCAGACGGGCGCCCAGGCCCGGACGACGCGCGGCGGCGAGGCGGCGACGGGGCGGCCACGGCGACCACACGGCCGCCAGGCTGACGCCCAGGCCAAGAGCCAAGAGCCCCTCGGGGCAGGAATGCGAACCCCCCGCAGGGGGAGCTTCGACGACAAATAAACGATACTCCAACCATACTCCAAAATGATGGAAAAATGCTCAAACCATGATCCCCGTACTATGTTCTTGACTATTTTTGAATATTCTTCCCGTAGGGGGACACGCCCGACTTACGTTTGAGGACGCATGGCATGGCGAACTGCCCAATCCGTCCCTGCCTCCCCCACTCCGCCCAGGTGCGAGCCAGGCAGCGGGGACTCCCCACTTGTGGCCTTGGACGGGCTGGAGCTGGCCTGGTGGCAAGTGCGCCGCGGCGTGCACCGCCCGATGCAACTCCCGCGCAAAGGCCCTGACCTCTGGTGGGTCGAGAACCCACAGCGGCCTGCCCTTTTTTCCACAACTCCTGGCCTCCGGAGAGGCCCATGTCAAGGCCAGGGGGTCCCGACAACGACCCGCGACAAGCGATCGTCCCCGGGGAGAGTTTTTGAGAGCTCTGGGGGCCTACGCGTTGAACAACTCGCGACAACGGAGGCCTGGCGGGGAGGGAGGGGGGCAGGGAGGAGAAGGGCAGGAGAGAAGCTAGACTTTTAGGGCTTTGGGAGTGGGGCCCTTAATGGGGGGAGGCTGCAGGGCTCTATCAGTCTCTGGGGGGCAGGGAGGAGGGAGAGGAAGGAGGCGGGGAGGAGAGAGGCGAAGAAAGTAGCGAGCGAGGCTCGAGGGGGTCAGGAATCTTTGAAGGGTCTCTGATGGCCCTGCGCGTTTTTAGGAGCTGCACGGGGCGTTCCAGAGGGTCATGCTGGGCTCTGCGGGGTGCCAGTGGGCTTGAAAGGAGGTTCGATGCCAAAACAGGACGCGGACGGAGAGGGGGGAGCGCAACCTCTGTGGCCTCAAGCCCGAGAGCGAGAGGCCAGAGAGGGACGAAGCGAAGGGACCATAGGAAGAGGACGAGGAGCAGGAATAGAAGGACAACGAGGAGGAAAGCGAGGATGAGATGGGGGAAGGGAGGGGGGACGCGGAGCAGGAATACGAGGAAATCGAGGGAAACGAGGATGAGATGGGGGGAAAGAGGGAGGGCGATGGCCAGGGAGGCGCTCTCACTCGCGTTCGGGCGCGCCGTCCTCGGCGCGCCCGAACGCGCCTGCGCAGGTCTCTCCGGCGGGGGCCCCGCTCAGCAGCCCGCCCCCCGGCAGGACGGCGTCGGCCGCGGCGAACCTGGAGCCCAGCGTGCGCGCGAGGCGGCCGGCCAGCAGCCGGGCGTGCACGTCAGCCAGGCGATCGGCGGGCGCCGCCGGGACTCGGTCGAACTCCGCCCCGCCCAGGGTCAGGAACTGCACCGAGGCGCCGTCGAAAGACGCCTGCAGGACCAGCGTCGGCAGCGCACCTGCCGGCGAGGAGCACGCCACGTACCGGAGACGGGAGGTCCGGCGCGGCAGCCAGTCCGTCCATCGGATCAGAGAGGGCAGGCCGCACTGGCCGAAGAAATTGGCGCCGCAGGCCACGGCCGTCCCGTCGTTCCTCAGCAGCACGGTGTGCTGCCAACCCGCAGCGACCTGCGTGTAAGTCAGGCCTCCTCCACGCAACGCCGGGACGTCGCACTGGCCGAAGCCATCGCCGCCGCCGCAGGCCAGGGCCGTCCCGTCGCTCCTCAGCAGCACGGTGTGATAGCCACCCGCAGCGGCCTGCGTGTACGTCAGGCCTTCTCCACGCAGCGCCAGGACATCGCACTGGCCGCTGCCATTGTGTAGCCGCAGGCCACGGCCGTCCCGTCGCTCCTCAGCAGCACGGTGTGATCGGCACCCGCAGCGGCCTGCGTGTAGGTCAGGCCTTCTCCACCCAGCGCCGGACGTCGCACTGGCCGAAGGCAGCATTGTAGCCGCAGGCCACGGCCGTCCCGTCGCTCCTCAGCAGCACGGTGTGATGGGCACCCGCAGCGGCCTGCGTGTAAGTCAGGCCTCCTCCACCCAGCGCCGGGACGTCGCACTGGCCGTCGCCATTGTAGCCGCAGGCCACGGCCGTCCCGTCGCTCCTCAGCAGCACGGTGTGCTGCCAACCCGCAACGGCCTGCGTGTAAGTCAGGCCTCCTCCACCCAGCGCCGGGACGTCGCACTGGCCGTAGGCATTGTGGCCGCAGGCCAGGGCCGTCCCGTCGCTCCTCAGCAGCACGGTGTGATAGCCACCCGCAGCGGCCTGCGTGTAAGTCAGGCCTCCTCCACCCAGCGCCGGGACGTCGCACTGGCCGTGGCCATTGTGGCCGCAGGCCACGGCCGTCCCGTCGCTCCTCAGCAGTACAGTATGGTACGCACCTGCAGCGACCATGTTGCGGCCCGCGGGCCCACGGGGCTCGGGCAGAGACCCTCTCGTCCACATATCCACCCATACTCAGCCTCACACGTACTCGAACCCACCCGCACTCAGACGCGCGCCTACTCAGACCAAACGATACTCGACCTCACTCAACCTTAGACTCACAACATTCCCGATCAGAAGTTGTCTGGTGAGATCGACGTGGAACGGAGTCTCCCAACCGGGACGTCGATGTCGGATTCAGTTCGTGTCGTGCGCGACGCGCCCGCGGGCGAGGCGAAGCTGCGCGAGGGCGAGACAAGCCCCTGCCTTGCCAAGGCAACTTGCCACCAGATCTTGTTCCTCCCCGCAGTGGTCCCGCGCATCGCGCCCCTCGATGCGCTGCGCGCGATCGTCTTCGCGCCCCCGCTCCGCCGCCCCTGGAGACGCGAAGCTCCCCGGCCCAGGCCGCGAGGCGCGAGGCACGATCATCTCCGCGCCCCCGCGGGTGACCTGGCTACTCCGCGTTCGGCAATCGAGTGCCGTTTTCGGCGGCAACACACGGCCGAACGCCGGCCGAACCGACAGCGAGCCCGAGACCGACCAAGGCCGAGAGGCCGTAGGCGAGCCCGGAAGGGCGCAGCGGCGCTGCAGCGACCGACCGAGCCGAGCCGAGCGAACGCGGCCGACCGCGACGTGGTCGAACAAACTTGACTGGGACTCATCTTCTGGCGGCTGCCCCTTGGAGTGCCCAACTGCCACCCCTGCCATGTCGCGGTGATCATGGTGTGAGTGCGAATGCCCATGCTGTGGGTGGTATGTGTGTGTTGTGGGTGACTCCGAGTGAGCAAGTCTGCGAATCAGTGCATGTGAGCGAGATCGAATCTGAATATCAGTGGATCTAGATGTGAGTGAGTCTGAGTGTGAGTGAGTCCGAGTATGAGTGACCTGAGTGCGATTGGAGGGAGGAAGGAGGCGAATCAGGAGGCGAAGGCGTCCCATCACAATAAGAACACCATACTCAGGATGTTGGCCCGCGTGAACTCTACACGGTGTGTTCTAGTACGTTAGGTGGCGCAACATGGTGCAATACTTGCAGTGTAAGCTATGTGGTACAACCTGTGTGGTGCAGGTCATGTGCTGCAATCTCTGCGGTGCAACCAAAAGGTGCGGCGCAAGCGATGTAGCACAACATGCATGCAGAGTGAGCTATACGTGGTGCAACAGGCGTGCTGCAATCTCTGCGTGGCGCAGTCTGTGCGGAGTGCTGAGCAACCTGGGTGCTGCAACCTTCACGGTGCAGTCTACGAGGCTCGCACAACCAAACTCGTGACGAGCGTGTGGCGGCGACGAAGCGGCGACGGCGACCGCAGAGCCGCCCGACGGGCGCCCAGGCCCGGACGACGCGCGGCGGCGAGGCGGCGACGGGGCGGCCACGGCGACCACACGGCCGCCAGGCTGACGCCCAGGCCCAGGGCCAAGAGCCCCTCGGGGCAGGAATGCGAACCCCCTGCAGGGGGATCTTCGACGACAAATAAAAGATACTCCAACAATACTCCAAAATGATGGAAAAATGCTCAAACCATGATCCCCGTACTATGTTCTTGACTATTTTGGAATATGCTTCCCGTAAGGGGGACACGCCCGACTCAAGTTTGAGGACGCATGGCATGGCGAACTGCCCAATCCGTCCCTGCCTCCCCCACTCCGCCCAGGTGCGAGCCAGGCAGCGGGGACTCCCCACTTGTGGCCTTGGACGGGCTGGAGCTGGCCTGGTGGCAAGTGCGCCGCGGCGTGCACCGCCCGATGCAACTCCCGCGCGAGGGCCCTGACCTCTGGTGGGTCGAGAACCCACAGCGGCCTGCCCTTTTTTTCCACAACTCCTGGCCTCCGGAGAGGCCCATGTCAAGGCCAGGGGGTCCCGACAACGACCCGCGACAAGCGATCGTCCCCGGGGGGAGTTTTTGAGAGCTCTGGGGGCCTACGCGTTGAACAACTCGCGACAACGGAGGCCTGGCGGGGAGGGAGGGGGGCAGGGAGGAGAAGGGCAGGAGAGAAACTAGACTTTTAGGGCTTTGGGAGTGGGGCCCTAGGGCTCTATCAGTCTCTGGGGGGCAGGGAGGAGGGAGAGGAAGGAGGCGGGGAGGAGAGAGGCGAAGAAAGTAGCGAGCGAGGCTCGAGGGGGTCAGGAATCTTTGAAGGGTCTCTGATGGCCCTGCGCGTTTTTAGGAGCTGCACGGGGCGTTCCAGAGGGTCATGCTGGGCTCTGCGGGGTGCCAGTGGGCTTGAAAGGAGGTTCAATGCAAAAACAGGACGCGGACGAAGAGGGGGGAGCGCAACCTCTGTGGCCTCAAGCCCGAGAGCGAGAGGCCAGAGAGGGACGAAGCGAAGGGACCATAGGAAGAGGACGAGGAGCACGAATAGAAGGACAACGAGGAGGAAAGCGAGGATGAGATGGGGGAAGGCTAAGGGAGGGGGGACGCGGAGCAGGAATACGAGGAAATCGAGGGAAACGAGGATGAGATGGGGGGAAAGAGGGAGGGCGATGGCCAGGGAGGCGCTCTCACTCGCGTTCGGGCGCGCCGTCCTCGGCGCGCCCGAACGCGCCTGCGCAAGTCTCTCCGGCGGGGGCCCGGCTCAGCAGCCCGCCCCCCGGCAGGACGGCGTCGGCCGCGGCGAACCTGGAGCCCAGCGCGCGCGCGAGGCGGCCGGCCAGCAGCCGGGCGTGCACGTCAGCCAGGCGATCGGCGGGCGCCGCCGGGACTCGGTCGAACTCCGCCCCGCCCAGGGTCAGGAACTGCACCGAGGCGCCGTCGAAAGACGCCTGCAGGACCAGCGTCGGCAGCGCACCTGCCGGCGAGGAGCACGCCACGTACCGGAGACGGGAGGTCCGGCGCGGCAGCCAGTCCGTCCATCGGATCAGAGAGGGCAGGCCGCACTGGCCGAAGGTATTGGTGCCGCAGGCCACGGCCGTCCCGTCGTTCCTCAGCAGCACGGTGTGCTGCCAACCCGCAGCGACCTGCGTGTAAGTCAGGCCTCCTCCACGCAGCGCCGGGACGTCGCACTGGCCGCTGCCATTGTCGCCGCAGGCCACGGCCGTCCCGTCGCTCCTCAGCAGCACGGTGTGATCGACACCCGCAGCGGCCTGCGTGTAGGTCAGGCCTCCTCCACCCAGCGCCGGGACGCCGCACTGCCCGAAGCCATTGCCTCCGCAGGCCAGGGCCGTCCCGTCGTTCCTCAGCAGCACGGTGTGATAGCCACCCGCAACGGCCTGCGTGTAAGTCAGGCCTCTTCCACCCAGCGCCGGGACGTTGCACTGGCCGACTTCATTGGAGCCGCAGGCCACGGCCGTCCCGTCGCTCCTCAGCAGCACGGTGTGATCGGCACCCGCAGCGGCCTGCGTGTAAGTCAGGCCTCTTCCACCCAGCGCCGGACGTCGCACTGGCCGACTGGATTGCCGCCGCAGGCCACGGCCGTCCCGTCGCTCCGCAGCAGCACGGTGTGAAACCAACCCGCAGCGGCCTGCGTGTAAGTCAGGCCTCCTCCACCCAGCGCCGGGACGTCGCACTGGCCGTCGCCATTGTCGCCGCAGGCCAGGGGCTCGCAGCACGGTGTGATACCAACCCGCAGCGGCCTGCGTGTAAGTCAGGCCTCCTCCACCCAGCGCCGGGACGTCGCACTGGCCGACTTCATTGGAGCCGCAGGCGCCGCCAGGCCCGGCCGTCCCGTCGCGCCCTCAAAAACAGCCAGCACGGTGTTGATCGGCACCCGCGCGAGCCTGCGGTGTAAGTCCATGCCTCCTCCACCCTAGCGCCGGACGTCGCACCTGGCCGAACTGGATTGTCGCTGCCAAAAAAAAGTAAAAAAAAAAGGAAAAAAAGAAATCAAAAAACAAGGACACCGGCCGTCCCGTCGCTCCGCAGCAGCACGGTGTGAAACCAACCCGCAGCGGCCTGCGTGTAAGTCAGGCCTCCTCCACCCAGCGCCGGGACGTCGCACTGGCCGACTGGATTGTCGCTGCAGGCCACGGCCGTCCCGTCGCTCCGCAGCAGCACGGTGTGAGCGTACCCGCAGCGGCCTGCGTGTAAGTCAGGCCTCCTCCACCCAGCGCCGGGACGTCGCACTGGCCGACGTCATTGTGGCCGCAGGCCAGGGCCGTCCCGTCGCTCCGCAGCAGCACGGTGTGAGCGGCACCCGCAGCGACCATGTTGCGGCCCGCGGGCGGGCCCACGGGGCTCGGGCAGAGACCCTCTCGTCCACATATCCACCCATACTCAGCCTCACACGTACTCGAACCCACCCGCACTCAGACGCGCGCCTACTCAGACCAAACGATACTCGACCTCACTCAACCTTAGACTCACAACATTCCCGATCAGAAATTGTCTGGTGAGATCGACGTGGAACGGAGTCTCCCAACCGGGACGTCGATGTCGGATTCAGTTCGTGTCGTGCGCGACGCGCCCGCGGGCGAGGCGAAGCTGCGCGAGGGCGAGACAAGCCCCTGCCTTGCCAAGGCAACTTGCCACCAGATCTTGTTCCTCCCCGCAGTGGTCCCGCGCATCGCGCCCCTCGATGCGCTGCGCGCGATCGTCTTCGCGCCCCCGCTCCGCCGCCCCTGGAGACGCGAAGCTCCCCGGCCCAGGCCGCGATGCGCGAGGCACGATCATCTCCGCGCCCCCGCGGGTGACCTGGCTACTCCGCGTTCGGCAATCGAGTGCCGTTTTCGGCGGCAACACACGGCCGAACGCCGGCCGAACCGACAGCGAGCCCGAGACCGACCAAGGCCGAGAGGCCGTAGGCGAGCCCGGAAGGGCGCAGCGGCGCTGCAGCGACCGACCGAGCCGAGCCGAGCGAACGCGGCCGACCGCGACGTGGTCGAACAAACTGGACTGGGACTCATCTTCTGGCGGCTGCCCCTTGGAGTGCCCAACTGCCACCCCTGCCATGTCGCGGTGATCATGGTGTGAGTGCGAATGCCCATGCTGTGGGTGGTATGTGTGTGTTGTGGGTGACTCCGAGTGAGCAAGTCTGCGAATCAGTGCATGTGAGCGAGATCGAATCTGAATATCAGTGGATCTAGATGTGAGTGAGTCTGAGTGTGAGTGAGTCCGAGTATGAGTGACCTGAGTGCGATTGGAGGGAGGAAGGAGGCGAATCAGGAGGCGAAGGCGTCCCATCACAATAAGAACACCATACTCAGGATGTTGGCCCGCGTGAACTCTACACGGTGTGTTCTAGTACGTTAGGTGGCGCAACATGGTGCAATACTTGCAGTGTAAGCTATGTGGTATACCACCTATGTGGTGCAGGTTATGTGCTGCAATCTCTGTGGTGCAACCAAAATGTGCAACGCGCAAGCGATGTAGCACTGGCCACGCATGTAGAGTGAGCTGCGTGGTGCAACAGGCGTGCTGCACGCTGCGTGGCGCAATCTGTGCGGAGTGCTGAGCACTCTGGGTGCTGCAACCTTCACGGTGCAGTCTACGAGGCTCGCACAACCAGGAGGAGGAGGAGGAGGAGGAGGAGGAGGAGGAGAAGAACTCGTGGCGGCGACGAAGCGGCGACGAAGCAGCGACGGCGACCGCAGAGCCGCCAGACGGGCGCCCAGGCCCGGACGACGCGCGGCGGCGAGGCGGCGACGGGGCGGCCACGGCGACCACGCGGCCGCCAGGCTGACGCCCAGGCCAAGAGCCAAGAGCCCCTCGGGGCAGGAATGCGAACCCCCCGCAGGGGGAGCTTCGACGACAAATAAACGATACTCCAACCATACTCCAAAATGATGGAAAAATGCTCAAACCATGATCCCCGTACTATGTTCTTGACTATTTTTGAATATTCTTCCCGTAGGGGGACACGCCCGACTCAAGTTTGAGGACGCATGGCATGGCGAACTGCCCAATCCGTCCCTGCCTCCCCCACTCCGCCCAGGTGCGAGCCAGGCAGCGGGGACTCCCCACTTGTGGCCTTGGACGGGCTGGAGCTGGCCTGGTGGCAAGTGCGCCGCGGCGTGCACCGCCCGATGCAACTCCCGCGCGAGGGCCCTGACCTCTGGTGGGTCGAGAACCCACAGTGGCCTGCCCTTTTTTTCCACAACTCCTGGCCTCCGGAGAGGCCCATGTCAAGGCCAGGGGGTCCCGACAACGACCCGCGACGAGCGATCGTCCCCGGGGAGAGTTTTTGAGAGCTCTGGGGGCCTACGCGTTGAACAACTCGCGACAACGGAGGCCTGGCGGGGAGGGAGGGGGGCAGGGAGGAGAAGGGCAGGAGAGAAGCTAGACTTTTAGGGCTTTGGGAGTGGGGCCCTTAATGGGGGGAGGCTGCAGGGCTCTATCAGTCTCTGGGGGGCAGGGAGGAGGGAGAGGAAGGAGGCGGGGAGGAGAGAGGCGAAGAAAGTAGCGAGCGAGGCTCGAGGGGGTCAGGAATCTTCGAAGGGTCTCTGATGGGCCTGCGCGTTTCTAGGAGCTGCACGGGGCGTTCCAGAGGGTCATGCTGGGCTCTGCGGCGTGCCAGTGGGCTTGAAAGGAGGTTCAATGCAAAAACAGGGCGCGGACGGAGAGGGGGGAGCGCAACCTCTGTGGCCTAAAGCCCGAGAGCGAGAGGCCAGAGAGGGACGAAGCGAAGGGACCATAGGAAGAGGACGAGGAGCAGGAATAGAAGGACAACGAGGAGGAAAGCGAGGATGAGATGGGGGAAGGGAGGGGGGACGCGGAGCAGGAATACGAGGAAATCGAGGGAAACGAGGATGAGATGGGGGGAAAAAGGGAGGGCGATGGCCAGGGAGGCGCTCTCACTCGCGTTCGGGCGCGCCGTCCTCGGCGCGCCCGAACGCGCCTGCGCAGGTCTCTCCGGCGGGGGCCCGGCTCAGCAGCCCGCCCCCCGGCAGGACGGCGTCGGCCGCGGCGAACCTGGAGCCCAGCGTGCGCGCGAGGCGGCCGGCCAGCAGCCGGGCGTGCACGTCCGCCAGGCGATCGGCGGGCGCCGCCGGGACTCGGTCGAACTCCGCCCCGCCCAGGGTCAGGAACTGCACCGAGGCGCCGTCGAAAGACGCCTGCAGAACCAGCGTCGGCAACGCACCTGCTGGCGAGGAGCACGCCACGTACCGGAGACGGGAGGTCCGGCGCAGCAGCCAGTCCGTCCATCGGATCAGAGAGGGCAGGCCGCACTGGCCGTAGACATTGGCGCCGCAGGCCACGGCCGTCCCGTCGCTCCTCAGCAGCACGGCGCGATGCCAACCCGCAGCGGCCTGCGTGTAAGTCAGGCCTCCTCCACGCAGCGCCGGGACGTCGCACTGGCCGTGGCCATTGTCGCCGCAGGCCAGGGCCGTCCCGTCGCTCCTCAGCAGCACGGTGTGACGCCATCCCGCAGCGGCCTGCGTGTAAGTCAGGCCTTCTCCACGCAGCGCCGGGACGTCGCACTGGCCCCAAATTTTCACGCCGCAGGCCACGGCCGTCCCGTCGCTCCTCAGCAGCACGGTGTGAAGCCCACCCGCAGCGGCCTGCGTGTAAGTCAGGCCTTCTCCACGCAGCGCCGGGACGTCGCACTGGCCGTGGCCATTGTCGCCGCAGGCCGCGGCCGTCCCGTCGCTCCTCAGCAGCACGGTGTGACGCCATCCCGCAGCGGCCTGCGTGTAAGTCAGGCCTTCTCCACGCAGCGCCGGGACGTCGCACTGGCCGTGGCCATTGTCGCCGCAGGCCGCGGCCGTCCCGTCGCTCCTCAGCAGCACGGTGTGAAACCAGCCCGCAGCGGCCTGCGCGTAAGTCAGGCCTCCTCCACCCAGCGCCGGGACGTCGCACTGGCCGAAGGCATTGCGGCCGCAGGCCACGGCCGTCCCGTCGCTCCTCAGCAGCACGGTGTGAGCGTATCCCGCAGCGGCCTGCGTGTAGGTCAGGCCTCCTCCACCCAGCGCCGGGACGTCGCACTGGCCGACGTCATTGTAGCCGCAGGCCACGGCCGTCCCGTCGCTCCTCAGCAGTACAGTATGGTACGCACCTGCAGCGACCATGTTGCGGCCCGCGGGCCCACGGGGCTCGGGCAGAGACCCTCTCGTCCACATATCCACCCATACTCAGCCTCACACGTACTCGAACCCACCCGCACTCAGACGCGCGCGCACTCAGACCAAACGATACTCGACCTCACTCAACCTTAGACTCACAACATTCCCGATCAGAAGTTGTTTGATGAGATCGACGTGGAACGGAGTCTCCCAAACGGGTCGTCGATGTCGGTCTCAGTTCGTGTCGCGCGCGACGCGCCCGCGGGCGAGGCGAAGCTGCGCGAGGGCGAGACAAGCCCCTGCCTTGCCAGGGCGACTTGCCACCAGATCTTGTTTCTCCCCGCAGTGGTCCCGCGCATCGCGCCCCGCGGTGCGCGGCGCGCGATCGTCTTCGCGCCCCCGCGCCCGCCGCCCCTGGAGGCGCGAAGCTCCCCGGCCCAGGCCGCGAGGCGCGAGGCGCGATCATCTCCGCGCAGCACCTGGCCGACTCAAGCGTAAGACCCCTGGGGGCCCATCCAGGAACCCAAGGGGTCAGGTTGGGGAAGCAGAAGAGAAGAACCCAAGGGGTCACGCTTCCGAGCGAGAAGAGAAGAACCCAGGGCGCGCCGAAGAACCCAGGGGGCCAGGCTTCCGCGGAGGAAGAAAGGAACCCATGGCGAGGGGTTCGAGCACGGGGGGCTTCCAATTTTGAAAGGGGAGCGAACTCTCAGCCGCGAGGGTGCTCGCGCGGGGGGGGTCCCTCCCCCCCCCTGGCGCTACCAGCGGAGGAAAAGCGCGAGAGCCCAGACTGCAAGTCGGATGCAACAGCTCTAGAAACGGTTGTCCTAACGCTGTGCGGATAGTTTTTTTTCCAGCAACCTGTTCTGGCAAGGCGCGCGCGCGGAAAAAGAAAAGAGAGACGTCCACGCGCCGCCCAGGTTATGCCGGGCGTGTCCCCCTGCAGGGGGGGATTTTCGACGAAACATATGGAACAAGCAAAAACCCAAAATGCCCCCCAAAGGTCAAAACCTATTCAAAAAATTGCCCCCATGGACTATTTTGGACTACGTGCGAGTATCTTTTATTTTTCGTCGAAAATCCCCCTGCAGGGGGACAGGCCCGACTTAACGCCACGGGTCCAAGGTGAGACGCGTCGCCGCCAAGAGGCCCCCCCCCCCCCCGCGGAAGGAAAACAACATAATCTGGCCCGGGGTCTGGTCGGCGGCCAGCCAGCGGTGGAACGGAGAGGCGGCGGCTCTTCTCCGAAGGCTCGGAGGCTCTCCGGCCTTTTGAGAAGTGTCCCATTCGAGGCGGGGGTTTATCCATATCCACCGCCTGGGAACCGACGGCCTGGTGCCCCAGCGGGCGGTGGACATATATTCCCTTTTCTATATTTTTACAATCCGGGGGGGTGGGAAAACCCCCCCCCCCGGAAAATCGGACCCCCGGGATCTGGCGCTTTTGGGGCCCCCTGGACGCCTTGCAATGGGTCCCCCGGGCCTTCCGGGCCTCCTGGACGCCCCTGCCGGGCCTTGCCAGCGGGCCCAAAGCGGTCAGAAGGGCGGCCAAACGGCCCCGCGAGAGCCCCACGCGGCCCCAGACAGCCCCAAGACGCCCGAAGACGACCCAAAGAAGACCCCCAAGAGGTCCTCCAAGTGCAAAAAAACACTTTCCTTTAGTTTTTTTATGGAATTTTTGGACATTCGGTTCTTCGGTATTCCGTGCGTCCGAGTCCGCCGAAGAGGCCCCAAAAATCCTCCCACAACGGTGTCAAAGGGCTTCCAGACAGTCCAAAAGAGCTCCAATATGGTCCAACAGGGCCGCAAGATGGCCCCAAGAGAGCCCCGCTGACAGCCCCAGATGGCCCCAAGACGCCTCCCGAAGCACTCCAAATCGTGACCCGGTCGTTCAGGGAGACCGTGGTTGGTAGCAAGGTGGCCGCAAGAAGCCCCCAGAGGCCCCCAAAAGGCGCCCAGGAGGCCCCCAGAGGTCCCTAAAAAGCTTTTGAGAGGGGCCCAAGAACACCTCCAAAGAGGAGCCCCTGCAATAAAAACTGGGGATGAGGACAAGGAGTGGCTCGCAGACAAGGAAGATTACGAGTAAGAGGAGAGGAAGTATAAGGATAATGCATAACATTACTATAACGACGATGGCGCAAACGGCAACAATGAATCATCGCTATATTTGGTTATCCTGCATGCCGAGCTTTAAGAACCAAGGTGCATGGCGCGAAGCGCCAATGCAGTCTTGTATATATATATATATATATATATGTATACATGTTCGGCCCCTGGGGGCCCGAATGTGTCCACATCCACCGCCTGCCGAGGCTCCGAAAACTGACCCTCCAGGCGGTGGTCATGTATGAATTCCGAGGACGCGGGCGAGGAGGAGGGGGAGGACAAAAAAGAGGAAGAGGAGAGAAGGGGGAGGGGAGGGGGAGGGGGAGGCTGAGAGGAGGAGGAGGAGGAGGAGGAGGAGGAGGAGGAGGAGGAGGAGGAGGAGGAGGAGGAGGAGGAGGCCTCGGATTCTAAGCCTTCCCCGAAAACGCGAACAACTGTCAGAACGGCCGGAGGGCCTCCGAGAGAAGCCCCGCCGCCACCCGAGAGAAGGCCGACCCCCTCGCCGCCGAGCTGGGGGGGTCCAGGCGTGCGTCGGGGACGCGATCTCCGCGCGCCCGTGGGTGCCCTGGATAACCCACATTCATCCAGGGAGGAGGGGGAGGAGGAGGAGCAGGAGGAGCAGGAGGAGCAGGAAGAGGAAGAGGAGCAGGAGGAGGAGGAAGAGGAGGAAGAGAATCCACATTCGTCAAGGGGCCCAGGGACACACGAACATATACACACACAATTATTATCCCAGTGCGACCCTACCTAGGACTTGGAACCCCTAGGAAAGCAGCATTAGTAGTAACAGTAACGCTAAGCTAAAGCTAAGCTAAAGCTAAGATAAAGCTAAGATAAAGCTAAGCTAAAGCTAAGCCACAGCTAAGCTGAAGTGAAGCTAGTGCTAAGCTAAAGCTAAGCTAAAGCTGAGTTAAAGCTAAGCCAAAGCTAAGCTAAAGCTGAGCAGCAGCTCAGCTAAAGCTAAGCTACAGCTCAGCTAAAGCTAAGCTACAGCTAAGCTAAAGCTAAGCTAAAGCTAAGCTAAAGCTAAGCTAAAGCTAAGCTAAAGCTAAGCTAAAGCTAAGCTACAACTAAGCTACAACTAAGCTCAAGCTAAGCTCAAGCTAAGCTAAAGCTAAACTAAAGCTAAGCGAAAAGCTAAGCGAAACGCTAAGCTACAGCTAAGCTACAGCTAAGCTACAGCTTAAGTTAAAGCTACAGCTAAGCTAAAGCTAAAGCTAAAGCTCCCAAGGGACTGGGGGGAACCGCTCCCAAAGGACTGGGGGAACCGCCCGGGGCGTGTTCCACTGCCCGGCCCCTTTAAGCTAAGAGAGTAAGAACCCTTCTAGGCAGAGCCTAGGTAGGGAAAAAGGACCCCCCATATTTTTCAATACCATGATGGCCGCGAACCGAACCGAGAACCGAGAACCGGCCCCCGAACCGAACCGGCCGAACCGGACTGGTCCTCGACCCGAACTGGCCGAACCAGACCGCGCCAACCTCTGACCCGAACCGGCCGGACCGAACCGGCCCGACGAACCGAACTGGCCGAACCGGACCGGCCGCGACTTCGGCGACCTGACCCCCCCCCTCAGGAGGAGCTGACCCCCCTCACGAGGACTCCTGGGACCTGACCCCCCCTCAGGAGGACATGACCCCCCTCGGGAGGACCTGACCCCCCCTCGGGCTGGAGGAGGCGTGGGACCTGACCCCCCCTCAGGAGGACCTGACCCCCCCTCAGGGCCGGAGGGAGCGGGAGACTTGACCCACCGTCAGGAGGACTCCCAGGACCTGACCCCCCCTCGGGAGGACCTGACACCCCCCTCGGGACGGACGAGGCGGGGGACCTGAACACCCCCATGGGGGACCTGACCCCCCCTCGGAACGAGGACCTGACCCCCCCTCGGATTGAGGACCTGCCCCCCCTCTCGGGGCTGGAAGGGCTGGAGGAGGGATGGCGGAGATGCACCTGACCCCCACTCGGGGCTGGAGGGGCGGGGGGGGACCTGACCCCCCCTCAGGACGGCAGGGACCGGAGGGGACTTGACCCCCCTCAGGACGCGGCGGCGGGGGACCTGACCCCCCTTCAGGACGCGGCGGGGGCGGGGGGGGGACCGCCGGGGCGGCGGGGGACCTGACCCCCCCTCAGGGCGCCGGGGACCGGGGACCTGACCCCCCCTCAGGACGCCGGCGGCGGGAGACCTGACCCCTCCTCAGGACCGACCCCCCCTCAGGACGACGGGGGACCTGACCCCCCCTCAGGACGCCGGGGATCGGAGGGCCGCTCCCGCTCCCTCGTCCCTCCCTCTGCCGCTTCCTCCGTTCCTGCTGCCCCCTCCCTCCCTCGTCCCTCCCTCTGTCGGCCCTCCTCCGTCGCCCCTCCTCCCCCCTTCGCCCCCCCTTTCCTCTCTCCTCCCTCTCTCCTCCCTCTCTCCTCCCTCTCTCACACTCTGCCGCTCCCGCCCCCCACTCTGCCGCCCCCTCCGTTCCTGCTGCCCCGCCCCAGCAAGGCGCCTCGGTCGCGGCAGGGCGCCGCGGGCGCGGGCCAGCGCCCCCGCCGCCCACCGTCGTCGACGTTGTCGACGTCGTCGGCGTCGTCGCCTCCATCGCCGTCGTCGCCTCACGTCCAAAGAATTCGGGAAAACCTTGGAACCGAACCAGAACCACAGACTAAGCACAAAAACAAACATCACACACCAAAACAAAAAAAAGTCAATCGCAACACATAACAAAGCAACACAAAATAAATAAAACAAACAAGCACCAACTAAACAAGACAGCCAAAAACAAAAAAAAATGCCAAACCACACAACCAAAACAACAATAATAAAAAGACTAAAACAAAGAAATCCTCCAAACAGATAATCGAGCACAACCAAAAAGAAAACACCAAAAAAAAAACAAAAACATAA